AGGAAGGATACCATCTTGGGTTAGTGTGTGGCCGAAGAAATTGACACTTGGTTGTTTGAACTTTAGTTTCTCAGAATTCAGACTCACATTGTTTGCTCTGGTGGCCTCAAGCATATTGGCAAATGCTTGGTCGTGCTCTTCCCCTGTCGAGCCAAAAACAATGATGTCAGCTATCCCAGTAACATTGGGAATCTCCTTATAGATGTTGTGTGACTTCTGCTGGAAAATGTCCTGAGAAACAACTACCGTAGAATTCCGAAAGTAACGCCCCCCCGAAAGTAACAGCTCCCCGAAAGTAACGTTAATTTTTTATCTTTCTATTAAATCCCGAAAGTAACGGCCCCCCCGAAAGTAACGATCCCCCCGAAAGTAGCGGCCCTTTCAAAAATGACAACTCAAAAGCAATAAAATCTGTTGTATTTAATGTAACGCCTGTTTCAAACAGTACGGTAAGTGCTTAGAAATACAACTTGGCAGTGGGTTGAATAATTTCCTATTTTATTTATAGTGTTCTCTTGTGTGTATTTTCAAAATCGATTCAAAAACATTGCATAAAATAACTACCGTTGATACGGTACCGTACTAGGGCCGTACAGATTTAAAGAAGATATTGAAAGAAAAACTCTCTGCTATCAAGCGAAATGTGGATGGAACAGCCTGAGTGCGGGACTGATCAAAGGACTGAAACATTTGAACAGTAAGTATTTGTGATTTAATTTCATACTTACATATAAGGGCTGTATGTGCCAGATACGGTATGATCATAGTCAAATAATACAGTATTTAGTTCCCGTATAATATGAACGCTACTTTTCACTGTATTGTACACACGTTTGGCGCCATTTTTTTTGTTACAGTATGCTTTGGTAATAAATACGTAACGCCTGATCGCAGGTTAATACGTAACATGAATGACCTTTTCATACGTATCATGTAACGTGTCTTCTTTGTGTAAAATGACTGCCCAATTACAAACGTTTTTTAACCATCCGAAAGTAACGGATACCCGAAAGTAGCGGCTACTTGGGCCTGCTAAATCCGAAAGTAACGGGGCCGTTACTTTCAGAATTCTACGATACCATTTTCTTAGCTATCAAAAGCTCTTTCAAAATCAATAAATAACAAAAGGCCTGGCAAATTTTTAGCGTGCGTGAAATTCATTATGTCGAGAATTGAACGTATATTCTCCCCAATGTTTCTTCCTGGAATATATCCAGGTTGATTATGATGTATTAATCCCGGCAGTAGTCGTTTCATTCTTTCGGCGATGACTTTCGAAGCCGGCTATCTTTGCATTAACGTTAAAAAGAGAAATCGGCCTCCAGTTTTTAGGTCGCAGCGATCTTGATCCTTTTTTTCAATTAGAGTAATTACAGCCTGCTTTTGTGATGAACTCAATTCTCCTTTTTCAAATGATACGCTAAAACATTCCACTAGACGTTTTCCAATAGAAGCCCAGAACATTTTGCAAATCTTCTACCTGCAATCCATCGCTACCTGGAACCTTATTTAGAGGGACGGAGTTAAAAACCTCAGTACATTCCGCCAAGCTAATCTCTCCCTCACCACTTTGTCTGAGTTCATACGACAGAGTTGGCATTGGCAAGTCTTCAAATTCGGAAACTAAATTACTTCAGTTTGCTGATGATACAACTGCCATTTTATCAGATTTGAACTCTGCTCAAGCCTTGCTTAAAATTACTTGACGATTTTGAGAAAGTCTCGGGTTTAAAACTGAATGTTATGAAAACAGAAGCCATGTGGATTGGATCTCTTCAGCGTTGTGAAGACAAACCTCTTAGATTCAAGTGGAAAACATGTGTCAAATGTTTGGGCATCTTCATTACATATGATGTAAAGATACTTGTTGAGAAAAACTTTAAACAAAGATTGAAGAAAATCGCACATTTAATAAATCTTTGGAAGTCAAGAGGTCTATCCATTTATGTCAAAGTAAACATTATAATTAGCAATTTTTCTCCCCAGAATGATTTATCCTAGCTCTTTCTTCAGTACGCCAGCCACGGTTATAAAAGAATTTAACTCTTTGGTGTTTAATTTTCTGTGGAATGGGAAAGATAAAGTCACCCGACGCTCAACGTACGCGCCTTACGACTCTGGTGGTCTTAAAATGATTGACTATGAAACCATTGTAAGAGCATTAAGATTAAGTTGGTTGAAACGAATAGTGGATGTAGAGTGTTATGGAAGCATTATCTTAATTATATTTTAAGCAGCGAGGGAGGGCTATTCTTCCTTGAATGCAATTATGACGTAGAGCAAACAAATATCTTGCCAACCTTTTACCGTGAACTCCTATCTTAGTGGGCTGAATTAAGAGAAATTGTTGACCCCAGTAGGGGTCACGAATACATCTTATGGAATAATAAAGAAATTCTGATCGAGGGCAAAACTGTTTTCTACAGACATTACTTTGATAATGGTGTAATTTTCACAAAGGACCTGCTTTATGGCATAGCAAACACTCAGTCATTTAGAGAAATGAAAGAGCAAGGTTTAACAAATTCAATTTTTTGGATGGACTGGCCTAAGACAGTCGGTCCCATTGAAATTAGGCGTTGATATACATAACTTCAAGACTGTCATTGACTTGGAAAATTATAAATGTAAAAACTACTACTATCATCTGATGAAATTCAAATATGAAAACCTTGGAAATGGGGTAAGCTTCGTCAAGAATTTGATTTAAGAGAAGACCAACATACCTATTACCTTTGAGGGTTGCAAGCGAACCGTATGTACGCTCTTTTCAATACAAAGTGTTAAACTACATCATGTACATCCTCTACACAAATGACCGTCTTTTTAAAATAGGATACGTATCAAATCCAAACTACACCTTTTGTCAAGAGAGTCGCGAAACTATTCATCATATTCTATTTGAATGCTCTTTCTTCAAATGTTTTTGGAGTATCGTGTCCTCTTGCATTTTAAATAGGCGGGGTACCTCTCGATACGTGACATTATGATAAGTATTCTGAAGAAGGAAACGGATTTGATGAACTATATAGTCATTCTAGGAAAAACATATCTGTGGAGCTGTAGGTGTAAAGGAATTAATCCCATCTCTAACGATTTCAAAAGAATTTTGGAAATCAAATATGAAACGGAAAAATACATAGCTTTTAAGGCAAATAAGATCAGCCAGTTTAAAAAGAAATGGGAAGTGTTCGAGGCATTTAATTTAAATTTAATTAAAAGTAAATAATTATCAATAACTTTATAAGCAGTATTTTTTTTCTTTCTTTTTTCATATATTTTCAACTTAGTTATTAAGTTGTATGTTGCAAAAAAAAATATATTAATGTCCTGTAAATCATGTAAATAGAGAAACAATGCAAAAAGGTTGTTAATCATAAAAAAGGAAAAAAAAACTTTTGCTTTTAACATCTTTATAAATGCAAACCTAAGAAAATTGTAAGTAATGACATGTGATATAAGTTTTAGTCATGTAAGTGCTACTATGATTAAATAAAAAAAAATTGTGCTAGTAGATCCAGGTTTGAAGGGTTTACAATAACTTAATAACAACGGGTATAATTCCCCCTGGTTAACTTGGTACGATTAACATACTCTTTAAGAACTGTAACAATACATAACTTTTTATCCTCGTCAAAGTTACGAAACTCCAGACGTCCTAGGTGTTTGCCTGGTCTGGAGGTTTTGAGAAGTTTTTGTATGTAAAATATCCAGTTTTTATCAGTAAGTGTCATGAGAAACATCAAGGGCATATTGTTTGGCATCTTTGTCCTGAGAGGAGCACAAGTTACATGGTTGTCTTGAGTATTAAGAGCTGTAAGCTGAGGTTTTCTGGAGGGTGGAGCGTTTTCAGATATGGCAGGACTGTACTCACATCCCAGATTTCTTGATATCGAGGCAAGGATGGTCGCACGGTGAAGACACCGTTAAGAAACTTTGTCACTAGAGGGTTATTTTCAAAAGTGCCTCCCTCGGCGGGAAAGATGACAGTGGGTAAAGCAGAGCGGACAGAGTTGATTGCACAGTAGAAAAGTTGCTTTTGGTAAAGGTCACCCAAAAAGTTTATCCCATCGACTACAGATGCCAAAAGGGGATTAATTTTCTGTCCACGACAGTAAAGTTCCCATCTTTATAGGTATGATGTGTACTGCTTCTGGGTTCCTGGTTTCCTTGCTTGTAAGATGACGTCTGAAGCTGTCGTTGAGAGGCCCCCACCTGTGAGATTTGCCCGGAGAAGTGGCAAAATAGAAGCTTTATTGTCTCGTGCAGTGGGTGGAGAAGGCCTGGACTCGAGGCAGGTGTAACGTGTCTTTTTTCCTAGGAAGAATAAGGGGAGATGCAATGAGCATATTAGCGAGGTACGGCCACCATGGTTGAGTGACCCTGTGGGGTACAACAAGACCTGTTGCTCAGTCCTCTTACACTTTTGGCAGAACTTTCTGAGTTACACAGAAAGGGGGAAAGGCAGAGAAGGCAAGGTTTGCCCACTTTATATAAAAAGCATTAACAGCATATGAATCCCCTACTGCTTGTGTTCGTCATGGCGTACCTCAGGGCTCAATTCTGGGTCCCTTGCTTTTCATCGCCTTTATTAACGATCTTTCGCTACATGTGAGCTCGGCTCAAATTGACCTATACACAGACGACACGACGTTAACCTCCGCTGCTAACTTTGATTCCGTTGGTGTTTTACAAAGTTCATTGACTACAGCAATTTCTGAGGTCGACCAATGGGCAACAGCTAATAAACTTCCTCTCAATGAGAGCAAGACAAAAGTGCTTACCATTACTGGCAAGAATTAACCATGACCTTGCTGTAGTTGTTAATGGAAAACACCTGGAGAATGTTCGTTGTGCAAAGCTTTTGGGACTAGAAATCGACCACGAACTAACATTTATCCCTCATGTGGAGAAATTGAGTAAAAGGCTCTCGCAGCGGATAGGCATTTTAAAGAGAATTAAATATTGTCTACCTCTAAAACATCGACTTATTTTCTATAACACCATGATAAGACCGGCAATTGATTATGTAAATGTGGTTTGGACGAGCTGTGATAAACATTGCCTTAACCGTGTTCTAAAGTTGCAGAAGAGGGCTGCTAGAGTTATTCTAGACGC